TCCGTACAAAAAAGAAACCAGAGTCTCTTTGGCTTTCTACTAACATCCAACCACCTCCTACTTTTCAGCTGGCCTTCTTGGTGCATTCCTTGTAGCCCAGGAATTAAATCAAATGCACTTCCCTTCATAAATTGGGAAAATTGCTCCCCTACCCTGACAAAATGTTCAGAACAGTATGTATGTGTACATGCTTCTTCTCTCCTTCTCTTATTTTCACTGTGGTTTTTGTTGTTAGGATGGCTGTGATACCTCAGGCTGAGTTCTACTAGGTCCTGAAATATTTTTGTAGTCTTAAGAAAATTATTGTCCTTTTATTCTCCTTTCAAAAAGTAATCAAAGCCAGGATCATTTGTGAAAGCAGTGGGGCTGCAAGCAACACTACTTGCTGTAAATGCTGATTACTTGCTTTGTTTTATTAAGCATGAAGAGGGGAAGTAGATGGAGATAATTAGGCGGTGGCCCTGTTAGCTCCTGGTAAGACATGGCCTGGACTTCTGAATTCGCAAGAAGATAGAGCCTAGCACAATTCTGAGGGTTTGCCCAGCAGGGCTGATTGCAGTCAGGGCTACTTGTCAGCAGTGGCATAAATAATACATGTTCTGGAATAAATGTTCTTCCTCCCCCAAAAAAATAAAAAAATTGAGATGCTCATAGATATTATACTTTTTCATGTGGAATTATCTACAGTTCACATTTTGAACTACATTTGTAACCAGAAATGCCTATAGGACAACCACCTAGAAAAATTCAGTCTGGTAACCCACTCAGCAGAGGGTGGCTTCTTTTGTTGTTATTTTGCTGTTTGGTTGGTCTTTTCCATGCTACAAATCTAGATTCATAGAGATTCTTCCATCAGTTATTCTGACTTCCTTGTGTTTAGTCAGTTTCTCACATGTATTTTTTATGAATTTAAAGTCAGTCTTGTGGTAGTGTAATTGCTGATTTCCTCTCGAGGAGTTTTCTTGAGAGAAAGAAGAAAGGCTGCTGCATTCATCATATCTCTCTCTGTCAGCTAATTTAGCTAGAACACATGCTAGACAATACTGAGAAAAAGTGAATGTCAACTTGAAACATTCAAAATAGAAGCTTAAAAAGCATATCACATTTTCATGTTTTATAATCTGATGGACTGAAAATAATTATATAAAGCACAAACAAAGTTGTTAGGTGGCAACTGTGTGAACCAGCTTTTCGTTGAATCACATTTCTGTCATGTTTGCAGCGTTTTACTTATTTTTTCCCTTACATAAAAAGCTGCAACTTTAATAGACACAAAGCCAGTTGGATGTAAAACCAGGGAGAAATAAAGAAATATCATGAATGTGCACAGTTTGCTTTGTGATAAAGAAAATTATAGTTAGCAGTTCATCTGCATATTAATTATTCTACCCATGCTGGAGTTAAAAGGTCAAACAGCACTGTCAGTAACTGTAATACAGGCTGAGGATGCATCTGAGAAATGGTGATATGGTTCTTTGTAGGTTCATAGGTTAAATGAGTAAAGGCATTCTCTGAAGTTGTTTGGACCTTGGGGAAAATATTTTTCTTAAGATGAATGTGAAAGAAGTGGGTCTGCTACAAAACACGAGTTCTTAAGAAAACTAAAGTTTCCATCCAGATGTTATTTGTGTTCTTAAACTTGAAGTATCTTGAGAAGTAACAGAAAGAAGATGACTGCTCTTTTCACACATCAGTAACTAAACATTTTATGCCTTAAAGTGCTCAATGACATTCACTCCCTTTTGTGTTTGTGTCCTCTATTGTTTAGCCATTTTTCAGTTTTCAAGGCATTTGCTTTGTTTCACGTCCAGTGCTAGCACCATAATATTCCTAAGTATAATAAAAGCTGTTTCACAAAGAACCACCCAAACTTTTTTTCTTGGAAGCTGAGCTTTAACAGAACTTTTCTCACGATTGCCTTCCAAGTCAAAATAATATATTAATATAATGCACACTTATAGATGCTCATATTCACAACAATTCAATAAATTTTCTAACAGCGCTTATCTAGGCTTTCAGTGAACCAGACCCAAATGAAATGTGGTCTCTGAAATATCTATAGATAGACTACAACATGCTTTTCATGATGATGTATCAGAAAAATATGTGAAGTTTATGAATAAAATGATGAATTTGATTTCCATATCAGTTTTACAAGAAACGTTAGCCTGGATCATGTTTGTTAGAGTTGATTTTAGCTATGACTGGTATAGGTAGGAGGTATGTGATTCTATAAACTTACATAGATCGGGAGTGCTTTCTATTTTTGTTCTATTTTGCTAATGTTTATTTGGTACATTGACATCCATGAAGACTTACTGAAAACCCTTTTAGTTAAGACTGAGTTCAGTCTTAAAAACTGAAATCTAACTTCTGATTATGAGGTACGCTGTCCCTTTTCATGAATCTCCACCTGAGAGATTTTGAATGCTTCTGTATTCCCTAAACTTCTGTGTGGAATTTGCCTTTATTAAAATAATACCACAGTGACATTTGGTATTCAAAATCAGGGAACTGTTACATTTAACATAATGTAATTCCATTCTCAGAAACAAAACAAAAGGTAGGAAGAACTATTATATGATGTAATCTCTGGTTAATGAAATTTTACGAAATTTGTACTCTTCCGTTTCTATCATGGAATAGTATGTGATCTGGTCTGTTATGTTTCATTGTGTTATCACTGTGTATTTTGATGTTTTGTGATATTTAGGGAAGGGGCTGTTCAATACCTCGGCCTTTACTGTGGTTTATCAGGCAGATACATTTTTCACAAAGATTTCTGAGCCAGACCTGGGTTCTGTTAGATCCTCCTATCATTTATTGGCATACATAGATCTCAGTTACACACGTTAACATTTCTGTTTAATATAATCCATGAAATGAGATGCTGTAAAATACCAAAAGCTGCTCTTATACTCTTGTAATTGGTTTGTGTGCCAACAATTTGGTAGTGGTGGGGGCTGCAGGGGTGGCTTCTGTGAGAAGATGCCAGAAGCTTCCCCCATGTCTGATGGAGCCAGTGCCACCCGGCTCCAAGAGGGACTTGCTGGCTGAGCAAGTGACAGTGGCAGCCCCTCTGAGATAACATATTTAAGAAGGGCGGGGGGGGGGGGGCTGGGTGGGCAAGCGGAG